AATACATGCTAGAATGCGCCAATAGGATTTTGCTAGCTTGTGTTTGGCTGTGCCCCCTTCCTTGCTTGTTCTGCCCACTATGCTTAATTTGCTCCCATTGGAAATGACACCGATGGTGTATCTTGAGTTAGTTGTACAAATCTTTGATTGAACTGTTTAACCATTTAACCCTATTACTGTACACTCTACCAGGTTGGGAAAAAAAGTCTGTAAAACGTGGGCATGTGTGAATACATTTATTTATACCTTTTTTTTAAATGAACAGCTGTTGTATTGTTGTAAAAAGGTTCAAATTTCATAATAAAAGTCTGATCTACACATTCTTATTCTCATGGACTTTTCAGAAAACAAACAAAGATTATATAAAACACTTTGGCTACACTTCAGGCTGGTAACTGTACCTCTCTCTGACCATGTGTTTGTGTGTGGTTTGATGCTATTGTCTCATCTTACGAAGCAGGGTGTGGCTGAGGTTGACTGTATACTCTAGTTGTGTGAGGCTGTGTGTGGCTTTGTGTGCTTGTACTGCTAGGATATGACACTCTGAGGCTCTGGTGAGTGTGTGTGCTGTTAAGACATGACACTGAGCTCTGTCTCTCTTTCTCTCTCTGAGGACCCATTCATCATTAATCCCTCCCTGCTGCCATCAGAGCGGCCAGCGCCGAGTCCACCGACTAAAGCCAAAGTGAAATATACCCAGTAGGATCGTTGGGTGTCCAGGAAGGCCACCGCGGCCCCGCCCAGCTCCACCGCATCCCCAGCGCATCCTCCCGGGGCCCGTTGCCTGGCAACGCGGGCTGATTGGGTTAGCAGGGTTAAGAGGGGGTCTGACAGAAGGCTGAAGAAATCAGATCACTCCCATTGATCATCCTTGCTCTGCTGAGGCCCGGGCCTGTGGCCGCACAATCAAAGCCCCTGGCTTTGTGTCTAGCTGGGAGGGAGGAGGGAGGAAGAGACTAATAGAGGGAGGGGGTTATTACGCATGTAGGGGAGGAGGGGGAAGACGCGCCAGGCTTTGTGAGGCTTTGGCCAGCAACCTCATCCTGTCGTCCTTATAGTACAGTATGCCCTGCAGACTGTCTGGAACCACGCCTCCTCAGTCTCCCATCGACTTCCGATGAAATTTTTATTGAACCATAGCGGGGGAGAAATGGCAGGCAGAGCAGGGTTGGGTTGGTGGGTCGGAGGCAGAGTCTGTGATGTCTGTGAAAGGTCCCTGGCTGTCCCTGGCTGCCCCTGCAGTGGCCACATGAGACGTGGGGGGATCAGTTTGAGGTCATTAGCTCTAATCCGGCACGACAGGCATTAAAAGGTTCCGCTGGCATCCCGCTGGGGGGTTTGTGGTGGTATTCCAGGTGCCTCCAGGAGGCACAGCCAGGCGGGGGCGCCACCTCACACCTCCACCCCCTCTTGGCAGACCAGAGGGCACAGAGACAGACAGTGGCCTAGCCACCTGACACAGGATCCACCTCTGATTAGTATCACCACCCTCATGGAAAAAACACATGCATTTCACATGTGATTTTATGTGATAATATGAAACTACACATGTGAAAACATTTGAGCACGTGAAAACATGAGCTCATGTGAAATAAATGTGACAAATTTCAACATGTAATACCATGAAACTACACGTGACAACATTTGAATGTTTTGACATGAGAAAGTGCAAATTCAATTTTAACATGTGAATGTTTTTGACATGTGAAAATGCAATTCCACATGTGAGAGTTAGGTTTTCAAATGTGAAAGGTTTTCACTTGTGAAAATGCTAATTTCACATCTAAATCTGCAATTCACATGAGGTGAAAACATGTTTTTCTCTTCACATGTGAAAAGGTGTTGTTAACATAAATTGAATACATGTGAACATGTGTTTTCACATGTGAACAATTGACCTCACATGTGGCTCTTTTGTTTTCACATGTGAACATTTCAGCTCAACATGTGAAAACAGCTATTTCACATGTAAAAATGCAATTTCACATATGACATTTTTTGTAAGGGAAGTAATGAAATGGCGTGAGGGTTTTAAGGTAAGTGCTACACTGTTCAGCTAAAATAGTGTAAAAATCTTTCATCAGTGACAACATGATTACATTGTCATTTAGTACTGACTTTTCAATCTGACCCCACCTGGGATTTGAACAGACAACCTCTGGATTTAGTGAACTCTGATCTTTCTGCTGCACCACAAACTCTGCAGCAATCTCAGAAGTCCCCTCCACATTCATTACCTATAATACATCTCTGCACTTAGCAAAAGAGTGCCATCTGCACTGCTATTTTAGTTAACTGTTAATCTGACTATTCTCTCATCATGATTGAATTGACTTATTTCAACAATTTGATGGTTTTCTGTATAGCTGTCTAATGTTTGTGGGGCATATTATTCTGTTTGAATGTTACTCCTGAATCACTATGATAACTATAATTGTTTTTCTTGAGTGTATTATACAAAGCTGAGATTTACTGTGAAGTCCAAAGTGTAGGAATACAGGTGAAGTCAGTCATTGACACAGACACAGTGGCGTAGCAGGAAGATCGGATTGCCATGAACCAAGAGGTTGTGAGGACATGTTCAATAATATTTACTGTATAAATAAACATACACAATGTAAACATGTATGTCAAAATGTGTTTAACACGTAAGTTGAAAACACTGTGACTATTTTGTGACGTTCCAGGGACATCCTAACAACTCATTTTTGTTTACCAGGCGTCACCTGTGAAATCTCATGTCAAAATTATGCACATGTAAACATTTGAATTTACATGTGAAAGGTTATGTGATCAAATGGGAAAATCCATGTGAAACTTAATGGGAAATATCATCATATGTGAAGTGTTCCAAAACCACATGGTTTCACATGATTTCACATGTGAAAGGTTATGTGATCATGTGAAAATCCACGTGAGAAACTTCATGTGAAATATCAGCACGTGGAACTTTTCCAAAACCACGTTTTCATGTGAGATTTCTCATGTGAAAGAAAATATAGTGATTTTCCACATATGAAATGATGTATTTTTTCAATAAGGGCTCCACAGTGGAACACACTCAGGCACCGTAATGCCACTCCAGTGAGCACTTAGTCAACCATATAGATAAAACTCACCCAGAACACAGGTGTAGAAACAAAACTAAAAAATGCACTCAGTGAAACCAGACAAAGTCAGAGCAACATAGTATGTGCTTTATTATAGCACTTGATTTCTATGACATTTCTAACAAATTGTGTTCATTCCACACAAATGATGTGGTGTCCATTGCATAGTCACTTGCACTTCTAAGATGGACATGATGGTCTATCTTCTGTTGTCTTCTGCTTTGTTACCATGGGGACTGAGGAGCTCGGTGTTCTCGTAGCTATTGTGGGACTGGACCCATGACAAAGCTCAAACCCACAAGCAGCCTGTTAAGAGCCTGCCTGCCTGCCTGGGTTTAATGTGTGTGGTGAGTCGAGTGTCTAAAATGCATATTTACAGATGAGTAAATATGTCTGACCCATCTATTACCTCACACTAAGGTAGGGAGGAACATTAAATTATTGATTAGTGTTGTGCACAGTAATATTGACTGCTTTTGGATGGAGATTCCAGCTTTGAACCACCTAGGTAGCCATAGACACTTGTTGGATTGGCTATGTGGTATACCATGTGTTTGCATATACATTTGTGTGTATTGGATGTAACCTTTTGGTCTACTGTTGTGCATGTTGAGTTTATTTATTCGATTTTCAGCATTTTCTCACGTCATTTGGCTCCTCAATTTATGCACCTTGGTGAGTAATATAGCGGCATTGTTCCTTTCCCTTTTCTCTCATGGTAAAGAATGTGTCATTGAGAATGGGAGGTCTGGTATATACTGTAGGCTTGTTAGAGATACCATCACGGCCGAGTTCTTCATCCGTGACGTCCTAGTCGGATGCAGGGTGCAGCAGGACAGCAGTGGGTGGTACTGGTCGGGTGATCCCTCCCACGTCTGTCCCTCCACTGATGCCGTCCCAAGAGGGTCTGGAGGTATCGACACCCCGCCATGTGAAGAGTCAGGGTTTCACAGAATTCACACCAAAGAGCAATTTAGTGTTCTCTGGTTCTTTGAAACCAGGGCAGAGGCAGCAGTCTAGGTTTTCACCCTCATAGCCATTATTCCTATGGGTAGTATATCTCTTAGTATCTTGATGTTCATTTATTGTAGACTTATAAGACTATTCACAGTATTTATTGAGGTTATTTGTTTAGTAAGGCATTTATGGACAGCAAGGACATTTGTGCTTTATACTGTGCTTTTAGCAGTACAAAATGGACTGTGTTCTTAGAAGACTGTAGTTATAGACACTTGGTTCCTTTAATATCCATTTGTTGTTGTTTTTGTTTGTTGATTATTTAGAGTACCCCTATTTAATTATGTGATACCCTTCAGGTGCCTAGATACCTGAAAAACGTTATTCTCTTGTCCTTTGTCCTAGTCTTCTCTTCCTCTGTCCTCCTCCTTTCTGTGATCTCTCCTTAGGCATTTTTGTGTGATGGGCTAGTGAGAAAGTACACCTATTGGACGGATACACTATAATGTGTGGAGTAGGACTAAAATGGCCAAACAATTATTGTGTATTATTGTATAACAATGGTACTGCTATCTGTTCTAGCATCCTCAACTATGAGCTGAGGATGAACTACTTATAGTGTTATGGGTTTAAAAGATTAGACGAAATTGTGTTGTTTACAAAAATTTATTCATACAAATCTTACAACACCTTTTTTTTTTTTTTTTTTTTTTTTTTTTACATTTATAGACTTGACCCTTGTGGATCGCCATTTTTTTTTTCATTATAATAGTACTCTCTAATATCCATTTTCTACACAATAAATATATATATATATATTCTAAGTTTAATCTTCACGTTTAGTAAGGCTGTTGGCGCTTTCAAAATGATACACATTATGGAAAGAGGGTAATCATGATGCTTGCAACTATCTATCACAAATCTCTAAGTCTAAGTGCTCTAAAAAAGAAATCATCAAAATAAATGATCGTGAGCAAGAGTGCTCGGAGACTACACCTAATGGCACTAAAGATCCAATCAAATGTCTGCGCAACACAAAAACAACAACCAAATAGTGAAACGTAAGCTGATGATGTGCAGCATTGTAGGGCTACTAAATAGCCATCTGTGATTCGTGGCGATTTTAAAGTCGAAGCAAGGCACCACAGCCGCAAGCTGCATTCTGCGTCACAAAGCCTGGAGGGGAATGCAGAATTAAAGAAAGATTGATTTCATACACACAGGCACAGATCGAAGAACTTTGCCCTACTGCTAAGTGTCACAAAGCTCAAACCTAACCTACAGTGTCTGTAGAATCTGCCTGGTGCATTACTAGAGTTAGATCTCCTTGCATTTTATGCAAGTGTGAAGATGATGTCTTGGGGCCAGGAAATGGAAGTATACTGTATGGATTCAGAAGCTACATTTATCATTATCTTATTAACTATTTTTCATGGTGTCGTAAATGGGATGGCTATTACAGAAGTAGCGGACCCAATCATGCCTGTAGTTAGAAGAAGTGTGGCTTGTTCTGTCTATCTGTCACTGATGGGTACAAGTGAGATGAGAGGCCAAGTTCTTCTAATGAGGTGTGGAAACCTTTGCCTGGTAACTTCCTTTCACTGCCAAAAATCACCCTGTTTTTCTCTCAAATCGATTGGTCATGGACTCTCCCTCTTTCTCTGTGTCCATCTTTCTCTCCGTTCTCCTCTCTCGCACCACTATTCACATCCCTCTCTCTTCCTCCAACTCCCCCTCTCATACTTGGGTCTATCTAGCACTGAACAGGTTCTCTGCTTCTCATCTTGTGATCATTTACATCAAGAAAAAGGAGGCAAGTAAACTGAGAAGCTAGTTTGGAATTGGTGGCGTTCAGAATAGTACAGGCACGGTGAAGTACGTTTAAGGCTTTGTCTAACTGTTGTTTAGGCAGAAGTTTGACTGTGCTGTGCTTGGGCTGCCAGGATAGGTAAGGATTATTCAAAACATCAATCATTCAAGCATTGTTTTTGGCATATAATACATTGGAATGTAACAGAATCTTGTCTCAAGTCCCATTGCGAAGAGACTAAAAAGAAAACATGACGAGACTCTTTCTAAAAGCTTCTCCCCTGCAGTACATTCATCTGCTCTTTCCTCTACAGAAGACAGGGGTGAGACGTTCAATCAAACACTTTGTGCAGTAATGTTGGGGAGAGAACAAACACAAAACAACATCCAGAAAACACAGATATGTATATACGTCAATCAGTGAGCAAAGAAAACTGTCCAATTGCAGTAGTTTGCACAGATTTGGTGGCTAGTGCAATTACTTTAATCATGCGATCTAGCTTTACATTGGTTCACATGACAAGATAGGGAAAAGCACAGTAGACCAGGAAGGTGCAACACGTCTTCAAATTGCCTCTGAAATGTTCCTCATGAAAAATAAAAAATACATTGAAATTAAGTGAAGCCACATTAAAAGTATAATGTTAGTCGAAATAGTCTCAATTTCATTATTGGACTTTCTTTTGAGTCCGATGACCATTTAGGTTATTCTATGTTCATGATACTTCTTATGTGGCGAGAAGAGACACATGGAAAACCTTTAACAGCATTCCAGGTTTTCAAGAGCTTTTCAAACACGTGGATACCACTACAGAGGAACACAATATAGATACTTTGCACAAAGTTCAAAAGTGTAAGCTCATTTTCGTTAACACTGAAGAAGAAGAACACGAAGAAAAGAAAAAGCTCAAAAGCACTCTGGTCCTCATTTTATAAGGGTCATAGAGGTCATAGCGGTCATTCTAACATGTATTCCACTTTAGTATTTGAATTACCGCCATATATAAGGATTCTAGAGCCAGTTGGGTCATGTCTGTTTTGGCCTTAAATCAATAATTTATTTATGATACTGTTTAGCATCACATTATTATCCTACAGCCTCCAATATGATATTTATGGGGAATTGTTTGAAGATTTACAGTATATCCATACACATTAAAAGTGTAAAACATATCTACGCATCTATATTCACATTCATACATATACTGTATGTGTATGCTCAACATGCAGTATAGGTGTGAATATAGATACAGTTGTACATTATCTCTAGAGAGACGGGAGCACAAATGAGGAAAGAAGGAGATTGGGTTGTATTTAGTATCTGGAGTGTAAGATCACAGGGTAAGGTTTAGGTGAGAAAAAGAGGGAGGAACAGGGGACATCCCTCAAGACAAGGCCTCGGAAAGAGCCTGGAACTCACCGGAAATTCAGGAGAGAACTGTTTCAGCCAGTCTCCCAAAATAGCCTCAAACTCATCCCCATCCGGGAGGGCATCAAAGTCTATGTCTTGTAGAATATGGTGAAAACCTAAGTCTTCAGGGCTGTTGTAAATAAAGACACTAAGCTCTTAATTTCAGTTGCCACAAAGTAACATTCAATACATTGATTGTCTTTTAAACTATTTATTTCCCTCCCATTCATATCTAGATTTAAATGTTTAAAAGACAGGGTAAAGAGCATATTGATCATGTGCACATCATTTCCTCTTCTTTTCTAAGTAGGTCTAAAAATAAATAAATATAGGCTATATTTAGGTTGAACAAAAGGATTGGTCCACAAAGTAGATCTGTGCGTTCTCAAGTGCTTAAGTACAAAAGAAAAACAATATTATTATCAAAATATTAATTTTAATGGCTTTACTTCATACATAAATACATGTTTAAAGAACACAAGAGCGATCCACTGATTGTTCAGTTTTCTCGAAATGACTTGATCTGGGCTGTACACACATGGTAGTTTGGTTTAGCAACGCTACAAATACGCTAGCCGGCGTCCTTTGCTTCTATATCTCTGTCTATACCTTTTCCCAAGAACTGCCGCCAGGTATTTCTTGACTGCCATTTGCTTTCGGTAGCGGCTGTAGCTGTCTGTGAAGATCCCATCCGAGTGTCGCTTTGAAAGCGGCTCTGAGTCGTCTTCCATGGTGCTCCCTCCACTAGAAAGGGGAAGAGCAGGATAGTTTTCACTGTTAGGAGACGCCTACCCTGCCTCGGAATGTAGCCCATAGACTGCACTGCACAGCTCTTACTTTTAATATTTTCCCATCTCTTCAACTTTTAATCAATCCTCCCAAATAGATTTTTATTTCGATATCATCATGGTTAGGCTGGCTGGTCGAGGATGTAGGGAATAATTTAAGCCTATATTTATCTTCAACCCTTGGTACTAACCCCCACCCCACCTCCATAAATTATTCATACTGAAAATGAAACGTATTCATCCACGTGGATCCTGGGCTTTGCTACTTAAAGAGACAATATCAGCACTGAGATCCACGGATTCGATCTAAACAATGCGGCACCCGGATTTGCGCTGTCGAAGATTTTATCAAGTCAACCTACTCTGTGACTAAAGGCGTCAAATTCAAGTCGGAAGAACACACACATAGATACACGGACAATTAGACGAAACATAGAATGAAAGTGAGTATTCGGGAAATCAGAGTTAAAAGAAAAACGAACACCAAAAATAACTAAGATCACAAAATAAGAGACGACAACTAAGAAGATGTCCTTACCCTACACGCTTTGCCATCAGAGAATGGAGATATTTTCTTGCTGATAACTGACCCAGCGCTTTCCTGTAGGCTTTATTAAACATTCCGTCTGCATGCCTTTCCGTTCTGGGATGATAAAACGCCAAACAATAAATGATCACACGTAAGTGGCAACATACTGTATGTAGCCTCCCAAATCCAACGCGTCATATGGGCTGCTTTCCAAAATGTGAGCTGAAATAGTTGAGTATGCTATTCTGGTTAATTTTATGACTTTGGAAATGGCCAGTTCATATTAAAAGTATTTCGTTCTGTTTTAGTTCGCTTACTAAATATAGGCTTCTAACTTGATTATATAGCCTACAGAGCTTTCCGATTAGCTACGTTGGAATACCAGGCTACCAACCATAGTCTATCTTGCTGCAATGAAAATGTGGGAAGTTTGTTATTTTAAAGGATAATTTTCTATAGGTATTTCCATCAGAAGATTAAATAACAAAATGTGATTCTTGACAGTACAGTACATTTACTAACATAAAACATATAACACAGAAGAACATAAATACGAGCCCGATAATGAAATGTCTAGCATGAATGTCAACGACATTAAAAAATAATAGGTTGAATATAGTTATAACGATAATCACCTTTTCTCCGGTGGGTAGTATAAAGTGTACACGTCGTCCGCAACAGACGGGGGACTTCTTATAGCAATCTGATCACTGTCAAAAGCCAAGTCTGGTAACGAATTCCCATCCTCGTCATAAACCTCATTTTCAAGTCTGAAATTGGAAATGCATTTGAATATTATATGCTTTTTGATATGGGATTAATCATGTATAATCTTGATTAAACCAATTCTGAAAATAAACACTGAAATAAATTACTTGCATTTTTAGATTGTATTCCATGTTAAGAAATTAGAGGAATTAAAAAATATTTGATAGGCCATAAATAGCCATAATATATCTGCTTGAATTTGTAACAATTGTAATTGCTATTGGCCATTCGTAATTAAGCTTAAACACCTTAAATAAAAACACGTGGAACCATAGGCTATATCTCCCAAAAGGCAACCAAATTCAACCCCATCGGAAATGGGGAAAAAATATGTTTAATTTAAAATAATTGTAATTGTGAATTAAATAACATCATAACCAGATCTAAAAAACTACATTAAAATGTATAGTTGTGATTCAAAAAAGAAAATTATGCAGATTGTGTCTGCTTAGTTAAGAGAATACAAAAGAAATCGATCTTGTTATTCTATGAATTAGTGGCTCCCACGTTTGCCTCACGCCTCAGCAAATTACCCCTCTCTGTCATTCCCACGGGACGCGTCTAAACACAGAGATACAGTTCTGTATCAGACGCTTGATCTACCAGTAGCTGGTAATATGCTCTATTCCACTGCTATGATTCCATGCGCTCTAAAGCCCCTCATAGCAAAACATTACAGCATATTCACACTCAAAATAAAACACATATACCAGTATCTTTCGATGCATAGCATACATTTTTATACCCAAATTGCTCTGGAGGGGAAAACGGTGTATGAATTTAGGTATCATCTATTTTCTTTTTTCTCCACACATCGATTGAACGAAAAAAAATGGTATAGCAATAAATGGCATAGGTTTAGACCTATGTGGTTGCAGTAGGCTTTATCTAATAAACAACAGCTGTGCTCAGCAGCAGAAACAATGAGTTTTCCAAGGTTCCGTTTACATGCAGAGACGCTCAGTTGAAGGAGAAGTGAACAGGTACCTACCTAAGGTTAGGGTAGCTAAGCCCGAGAGGTGAGCAGTGGATGCTGTAATGCATTATGATTCCATAGATGAGTAAGGCTAAAGTCGCTTTACTAGACATTGTCCTGCTGAGAAAGAAATGATTACAAAGTTAGACGTGCGAAAGCTATCTAACATTTCCAAAGTCAGAGTGAGGAAAAACGAAATGAATGCATATTTTTTAGAATGGATAGGGTTTTCTTAAATTTTGGAGAACAATACGCTTACAAAAATGATCCAAACTCCCCATCTATTCATCACGTAGTGCTTGCGAGAGAAACAGTGCTTCAACGCACCTCAAATGTGTTGCCCCAAACATTCTAAAGTGCAAAATACGACCTCCAAACATTACCTCCAAGCATTCTAAAGTACTATAGCCTGTTCCTGTAGTCTAGATTTGTGTGTGTAAAAGTTCGGAAAGCATCACGTACCTATTGCCGTGTGGAGGGAGACGCTGGATGTGATCCGGTTGTGACTGCGACTGGGAGAGTGAGATAGTCTCTCTCTCTCCCTTTCTCTCCTTCCCTTTCTCTCTCTTCTTGCTTCGTCTGTAAAGCGTCTCTGCCGCCTCCTGATGCTCCTTTAATGTGTCCAGCCCTCGGTGCGCTCACACATAAAACGCGATTATCGGATCTCTGTATGCACACAACCCCAGGAGAAAGAGCGCACACGTTTGTCTTCACTGAGGAAACTTTTTGTTCTGAAGACCTGCTTCCCTCGGCTTTTTTTATTCCTGAATCCAACAGCATGCCTTTTCACTGGTCACATTAGGGGATACTATCTACGTCATCACCCCCATCATCTCGGAATGTAATACTGTAGTACTTTTCCTTCCCGTCAATGAGATGGCCCGAGTCATAAAGTGCATATGCATGTTTAGTTCAACCACGTATTTGTGAGACAATGCATGAATGCTAATATTTGTCAGCGTGACATACATAAAGCGGGAAGCCAGGTGAGGTCATTGTGCGTGGTTAATTTCAATACCTCAATCAAATGACTAAAGTAAAATCGCCCCCGTCAAACTTAAAACCAACCTGAACAATCTTTCAATTATAGCCATATATTGCGACAATGATCAAGGTCAAAGCGCTTGCATTGTGCCCCATCCCCCTTAACGCACGACCGGCAATAGAGCGGGAGTTGTCCAGCACTCAGGCGCTGAAACGCTGAAACCCTGGAACTGGCAATGGTTGAATCGGTGCGTTTTAGCAAGACAACGTGACAGGCATGTGGGGCTTGTTCCACAGAAACATTTGATTTGAAACAGGAAAATAATATGTACATTCTAACTAGAGAATGTTATCCTAAAATGATGTAGGACTTCATAGCCTCCATGCATTCAATGCATTATGTACACTATATATACAAAGGTATGTGGACATCCCTTCAAATTAGTGGATTCGGCTATTTCAGCCACACCTGTTGCTGACAGGTATATAAAATCGAGCAAACAGCCATGCAATCTCCATAGACAAACATTCGCAGTAGAATGGCCTTACTGAAGAGCTTAGTGACTTTCAAGTGGCACCTTCATAGGATGCCACATTTCCAACAAGTCAATTGGTCAAATTTCCGCCCTGCTAGAGCTGCCCTGGTCAACTGTAAGTGTTGTTATTGTGAAGTGGAAGTGTCTAGGAGCAACAACGGCTAACAGGACCGCCGAGTGCTGAAGTGGGTAGCGAGTAAAAATCGTCTGTCCTAGGTAGCAAAACACACTACCATGTTCCAAACTGCCTCTGGAAGCAATGTCAGCACAAGACATTGATATGGGTTTCCATGGCCGAGCAGCCGCACACAAGCCTAAGATCACCATGCGCAATGCCAAGTGTCGGCTGGAGTGGTGTAAAGCTCGCCGCCATTGGACTCTGGAGCAGTGGAAACACGCTCTTTAGAGTGACGAATTACGCTTCACCATCTGGCAGTCCGACGGACGAATCTAGGTTTGGCGGATGCCAGGAGAACGCTACCTGCCCCAATGCATAGTGCCAACTGTAAAGTTTGGTGGAGGAGGAATAAGGGTCTGGGGCTGTTTTTCATGGTTCGGGCTAGGCCCCTTAGTTCCATTGAAGGGAAACCGTAATGCTACAGCATACAATGACATTCTAGATGATTCTGTGCTTCCAACTTTGTGGCAGCTGTTTGGGGAAGGCCCTTTCCTGTTTCAGCATGACAATGCCCCCTTGCACAAAGCGAGGTACATACAGAATTGGTTTGTCGAGATCAGTGTGGAAGAACTTGACTGGCCTGCACAGAGCCCTGACCTCAACCCCATCGAACACCTTTGGGATGAATTGGAACATAGACTGCGAGCCAGGCCTAATCTCCCAAAATCAGTGCCCGACCTCACTAATACTCTTGTGGCTGAATGGAAGCAAGTCCCTGCAGCAATGTTCCAACATCTAGTGGAAAACCTTCCCAGAAGAGTGGAGGCTGTTATAGCAGCAAAGGGGGGACCAACTCCATATTAATGCCCATAATTTTGGAATGAGATGTTCGACGAGCAGGTGTCCACATACTTTTGGTCATGTAGTGTACCATTGGCTATTATCTGTTATGCACACACTCAAACGATAGAGTTGCTCAATAAGCCATAGAAGCCTATGACGTTTCTTTACCACAGGCATTCTTTTGTTTAAAAGTGTAGCCTGTACAACTGCCTCAAATTATGTCTCAATGATACAAGATTTACTTTGTTGTAATAGTGATTTTCTCCACGGATACAGAAAAATTACACTCTATGACAAATGATCATGTTGTATGCAGTTTTTCAATATTAGAGATAGGGGTTGAATGGAATTGTATAATGGGAAATAGCAATCAGTGGAAATGATCATGGAGAACATCATTTGTTTTATACAAAATCCCAAATTAGCAGCTGAAATGACAAATATATCAACTTTTTAAAAATATAAATTGTAGTTTATCAACCTGTTAAACTACTTTTCCATTGGAACATGCATTTCCAAGTGTCTTTGACAGTTGAGCATTATTCATGAATGACCCTCTCCTGTCAATCTATTTGACGCATGTCTGGATCATGTGTGGAATCTTTAGTGAATGATTCAGACCCCCGCTCTGACGTCATGTGACGAAAATTTCCAGAAACCCGTGTACTTTTTGTCTTTTTCATTGCGGGGATGATATGAAAAATTGCTCTGAAAAACACCTTATATAAAGTGATTGCTCCACGCGCTGAGCGAGCACTGCATTCAAGTGGTGATGTGAAGTAAGTGCATCATGATGAGAAAGGAAGATCATGAACCATCCAATTTTGCAAACATGATCAAATACTGACGATATAGACAGACTATACATTTTCAGTTAGATCATATTCATGACAATTCCAGACAGGTTGCCCTATGAATGCAATGTGTTAACAATTAAGTAAAATAATCCATAATAATTCAATAGACTATTTTGAAGGACAGGAAGGGAACAGAAATATAGCTAAATAGAATAGAATAGAATAACTGTATTTTTCCCAGAAGGAACTTTAGTTGTGGCAAGTCAGATAAGAGAAAGATATTAAAGCAACATTCACACATGACATATTCAAATGACATAGGAGGCATGTACAAGATAAACATAAGTAAAAAACAAATCTATCACAAGCTAATACTCTAGATAAAGTTCATGATTACATGGCAACTGTAAACCTACCATAGCCATGACTACTAAGAATATATTTTTTATCAAAAAGATATCAAACCCCGAAATATCGTCCCATTTTGGGCAGGGTGGAATTTAATAACAAGAACACAATCAATAACCAACCCATCATCATTTCCAAAGTGCAGGATGTGATGTCTGTCAGGAAGATTGATAAGGTTATTTATATCCCATAATTTCTGAGTCATGCCATAAAGTGTTTACACAGAGTGCTTCAGCTACTTCCTGTCATAATATGTGGCCACTCTGAAACCAACCCTTTCCCAGTTTGACAAAGGTTTACTGCAAGTCGTTCTGGATAAGAGTTTCTGCTAAATGAAATGTGAATGTTTGTTTGGAATATCCACCAAATCGTTAAGTGAAGCTAATGAACATTAGAGCCATTCCCAGCTGAAAGGGCTAATTGAGGCTGCAGCTGGCTGTTGCAACCACATAAGCTTTTACTGCAACCAAGAACAACACCTGACCACAATCTAGAAAACTTTGGATAAAACATTTGGATGATGTCAGCTTCAGATGAGTTTGATTAATTTTCTCTCTTCTGTTTACAGCGAATACAGTTTTGTGTTTTTCAATGGCATACCCCTCACAAAAATATATCCTCTTCCCATGCTTTATTTTATGTGTAACTGACTCACAGTGACTCAGATTTACTCAAGCCTTCTGATATGATCAGAGTTTATACAGCCTTCATAACATCCATACCTCATACAAACTCCTTCTGTCCTTTGTGTGTAGTGTGATATTGGCTACAGAACTCATCATTGGCCTTCACAATACCCCCCACTAGATCACCATGTCCACTGTTTGACTGAGTGGGTACACAAACATTCTGTCTGCTCAATCTCAATCTGTGAATGACTTTATGACCCACATCCAGGATTAGGATAAATTAAACCAGGCCATAGGGCATCTCTTATCATATTGAGTGAGCAACCAGGGGTGACTGAAAAGGCACATTGGACTCACTGTAATAAGAACCACTTTCTGTTGACAATAGTAATGACTCATTTATATAGGGTTGATAGGTGCAATATTTTATTTTGCAGTGGGCAAATATCTATCTCACTAGGGTGTGTGTGTGCGTGTGTGTGTGCGTGTGTGTGTGTAATTTATGCATGAGTTTCTTACAGCAGTGGGCTTTAATTAGATTTTGATTAAGAAATGTTTCTCAATTTTCTGTTATTGAAATAATCAAATAAAGCTTCAAAACATTTTCCACTGATGGACTATATGGGTTTGATCGGTTTTAAAGAAATATCAAAACATAGATATCAAAACAGAACACTCATCAATGATAAAACGTTTACATTAAAGTCAAAGCAAAAACATAAATGATGAATACGTTCAAAAGCAACATTAACATGAATTGTTCATTGCCATATGTTAGCCCCTCAAATATCTGACATTGTGACGTAAAATAATATACTTCACAGAAATGTTACTCCAGCTCCGGGTAACAGTAATGGCCCTCTAATGGTGCGTCTCATACAGCGGAACATCCCACTTACAGTTCATTTCATAATTCATTTTAGTCATTTAGCAGATGGTCTAGAGAGCAGTTAACAGTTAGGCTAATGGTTATTAGGGTCCACAGACAGGAAATACAGACATGACATGCAAGACATTTAAAGAGACGGTAATTTTTTTTTTTTACAGTGCCCTTAATTATTTAGGCTTAGGTTTAGGTTTAATTGGACATCTTGGTACATATGCAGAAACATTCATAAAATGTGACGTCATACAATATAAAACACAAGTAAAAGATATGATCAGCCTAACTGTATGGACAGTGAATCATCAATAAATTATTATTCATAAACAACAAATTGGCATACCACTAAATCAATAAATATGCATATCAATGTCTTTAGTGAGTGTCTTTAGTGAGTGTCATTTGCATAGTTTGAGAGCTCTTGCCAAGAAAGATGTCTGGTGTCTTGTAGTGGGGCTTGTGGCAATAGAGTGTTGCCTTGAACTCAGATCATACTGCCTCTGTGTAGGGGTTAGAAACTTGTGCTGTGGATTTGTGGTCATGCAGGAGCACTTTAAAAGTCTCGACTGTGGCTTCATCTCATCTGCTCTCCAGAGATGGGAGCGAGTTGTAGAGA